TTTTTTTTTTTTTTTTTTTTTGAGTTGGAGTCTTATTCTATTGCCCAGGCTGGAGTGCAGTGGCATGCTCACACCACATCAGCTCGACCTGCTGGGCTCAGGCAATCCTTCCGCCTCAGCCTTCCAAGTAGCTAGAACTACAGGTGCGTGCTCCCACCCCAGCTAATTATTTATTTATTTACTTATTTATTCATTTATTTATTTCCCAGGCTGGTCTCGAAACCCTGGGCTTAGGCAATCCTCTTGCCTTAACCTCCCAGAGTGCTGGGATTACAGGCTTCAACCACCACGCCTGTCCGTAATTTTTTGATTTATTGTAAAGATGAGGTCTTGACATGTTGCCCAGGCTGGTCCCTGTGGATTCAGGCAATCCTTTTGCCTCTGCCTCCCAAAGTGCTGGGATTACAGGTGTGAGCCACTGTGCCTGACCCCTTTCTTAGTTTTAATGTAAAGACTGATAGAGCCATACCTCCAGAAATTTTATCGGTTTCAGACCACTGTCGTAAAGCCAATATTGTGATAAAGTGAGTCATGCAATTTTTTAAGTTATGTTCACATTATACTATTGGTTTTTTAAGCGTGTAGTAGAATTGTCTCTAAAAAATGAATATGCCTTAATTTAAAAATCCTTTATTGCTAAAAGTGCTAATGATAATCTGACCCTTCAGTGAGTCATAGTCTTTTTGCTGGTGGAGGTTCTTGTTTCGATGTTTATAGCTGTTGACTGATCAGGGTGGTAGTTGCTGAAGGCAGGCATGGTTGTGGTATGGCAGGATTTTATAGAGTGTCAGGACACCAAGGCCAGGAAGCAGTTTTATTCATGCCAGCACTGGCTCAGCGGTTTCACATCCAAAGACTGAGCCCTGAGTGTGGGGGCTATTGCTTTTCATACAATTTTAGCTTTGTGGTCCGTGTCCATCCCCCCCCCATCGATAAGGCTTACATATTAGTAACATACAGACTAATTGGGCATTTCACAGCTCATAGTTACACATGCGCACTACAGATTGGGGCTCCATTCCTTTCTAATGTGAACCTTCCAAGAAAGTTCTTATCTTATGGTGCTAGAAGAACTCTTTTATTATTCTGGGAAGGCTTTTATTTTACTGTACTAGGGGGGCCCCTACTCTGTCCTGGGAAGGCCTTCATCTTACTAGGCTTGGGGGAAGGGCTCCCTGCCTCAGTGGCAGTCTCTTAATACAACAGTGAGGTTTGCTGGATCAGTTGACTCATGCTTTTCTTTTTTTTTTTTTGAGTTGGAGTCTCACTCTGTCACCCAGACTGGAGGGCAGTGGCTGCTCCCGGCCACTGCAGCCTCGACCTACTGGGCTCTGGCAATCCTTCCGCCTCAGCCTTCCAAGTAGCTGGAACTACAGGCGCGCACTACCACGCCCGGTAATTTTTTGATTTATTGTAGAGATGAGGTCTCACCAAGTTGCCCAGGCGGGTCTTGAACCCGTGGGCTCAGGCAATCCACTCACCTCAGCCTCCCAAAGGCGCGGAATTGCAGGCTGAGCCACCGAGCCTGACTGACTCTTGCTTTTCAAAAGATTTCTGTGTAGCATATGATGCTGTTGGATATCCTTTTTCCACAGAACTACTTTTTTTCTTAAGAGATGATCTCAATATGTTGCCCAGACTAGTACTGAATCTCTAGCAATTCTCCTGCTTCTCAAGGTGCTGGGATTACAGGCGTGAATCACCACTCCTGGCCTTGCCCACGGTAAAACTTCTTTCAGTATTGTAGTCTGTCTTCTTGAACTCTGTTGCTGCTTTAGCAAAATATGCTTATGCAATATTCTAAATCCTTTATCATTTCAGCAGTGCTCACAGCATCTTCTTCACCAGTAGATTTCATCTCAAAAACCACTTTCGTTGCTCACCCATAATAAGCAACTTCTTATCCATTCAAGTTTTATCCTGAGATTGCAGCAATTCGATTCCATCTTCAGTTTCCACTTCTAATTCTAGTTCTCTTGGTATTTCTACCACATCTGCAGTTACTTCCTCCACTGAAGTCTTGAAGCCATCAAAGTCATCTGTGAGGTTGAAATCAACTTCTTCCGAACTCCAGTTAATGTTGACCTCCTCCCATAAATCACAAATGTTCTTAATAGCATCTAGAATAGTGAATCGTTTTCCGAAGGTTTTCAGTTGACTTCACTCACATCTATCAGAGGAATCACTGTCTATGGCTTCTATAATCTTACAAAGTATATTTCTTTAATAATAAGTTTTAAAAGTTGAAATGACTCTTTCGGGGAGACACCCCTTATCAACAAGGGTGTCCGAACGAAGCATATTTGTATACCTAACCCTAAACTGTACCCCACAATATCAAAATAAAAAATATTGATTAAAAAAACAGAAATGACTCCTTGACCACAGGTGGCAGAAAGAATGTTGTGTTAGCAAAGCATGAAAACAACATTCATCTCTTTGTACATCTATCAGAGCTCTTGGGTGACTAGGTGCATTGTCAATGAGCAGTAACATTTTGAAAGAAATCTTTTTTCTGAGCAGTAGATCTCAACAGTGGACTTAAAATGTTTAGTAAACTGTGTTATAAAAATATATGCTTGTCGTACAGGCTTTTTTGTTCCAAAGAGCTCAGGGAAGGTAGATTTAGCATAACTCTTAAGGGCTCCAGGAGTTTTAAAATGGTAAATGAACACTGGCTTCAACTTAAAGTCTACCAGCTGCATTAGCCCCTAACAAGAGAGTCAGCCTGTCCTTTTGTGGTGGTGATAGTGGAGTGTGTGTGTGTGTGTGTGTGTGTGTGTGTGTGTGTGTGTGCGCGCACATGTGTATGTATACACGTTTTTGTTTACAGTTTCTGGCTCCTGGCTCCCGTAGTTCTTGTTATGATATTGGGGACTTTAGGCTTCAAGAAACAGAATCAATCTCTGACCACCTCCCTTTACAGGGCAGGACTCCAATCTGGTTGTAGGTTAAAAGACCCTCATTCCAGAGAGGGTACTGCCCTGTACTCTGGAGGAAGGAATGTTGCATAGAGAGGCCAAGAAGAATCTGGACAGGCTTTGCTGAATTTCCCCACTCAGTCTTCTAATAGGAGATCATATCCATTTGTTCAATCCCATTTCTGTGTGTCAGTTGTGCTTATGTAATGAAGCTTCCATAAAAACCCCAAAGGACACAATTCGAAGAGCTTCTGGATAGCCGGACACATGGAGATTCCTGGAGGGTGGTGGGCTCAGGGAGGGCACGGGAAACTCCATTCACATTCCCCCATCCCTAACCTTACACCTCTCTCTATCCTTTGCAGCATCCTCTATCATAAACTGGTAAATGTAAGTAAATGTTTCCCTGAGTTCTGTGAGCTGCTTTAGCAAATTAATCGAACCCCATGAGTGGGAGTTGGGAAACCCAACTCGAAACCAGTTGACCAGATGTTCTGGAGGCCCGGACTTGTAAGTGGGGAGGAAGGTGGAGAAAGTCTTGGGAACTGAACCTGTGAGATCTGGCACTGTATCCAGGTAGAAAGTGTGAGAGTTGAATTGGAGGACACTCAGCTGGTGTCTGCTGCTTGGTGTGTGGGGACACATTTGATCACAGAAGTCTTCTGTTTTGACGATTGTTGTGACAGCGGAGGGAGAAACACGGTTTGAGAGGGTTTTTCCCAAAGCAGCTTTGGAGCCTTGAAGCCATGTGTTAACTCCTTCTGGCTAGCAGTGAAAGTCCTGGATGACATCCTCCTTCAATATAAGGCTGTTTCATTTACTTTGCAAGTCTTTTTGTGTAGTATAGCCGTCTTCATCAGTGATCATAGCTAGAGCTTCTAGATAACTTGTCACGGCTTTTGCATCAGCACTTACTGCTTCACCTTGCACTTTTACACAATGGAAACAGCTTCTTTCCTTAAACCACACTTCTGCAGCTTCCTCACCTGTCTTGACCTTCGTAGAATTGAAAGGAGCTAGGACCTTGCTGTGGATTAGGCTTTGGCTTAGGGGAGTGTTGTCTTTGGTTAAGCTTCTATCCAGACACCAAAGTTTTCTCCATATCAGCACTAAGGCCAGTTTCCTTTCTTATTATCTGTGTGTTTAGAGGAATAGTACTTTTAATTTCCTTCAAGAACTTTTTTTTTGCATTTGCAACTTAGCACAAAAGGCCTAGCTTTCAGCCCATTTTGGCTTTTTGACATGCTTTCCTCACTAAGCTTACTTCTAACGTTTGATTGCAACTCTTCCTTTCACTTGAACATTTAGAGGCCATTGTATGGTTATTAATTGGCCTAGGTTAAATACTTTGTATCAGAGAAGAGAGACAGACAGAAAGCCAGAGACAAGAAATGGCCAGTCAGTGAAGCAGTCAGGACACACATAACATTGATTAAGTTTGCTGTCTTTTATGGGCGTGATTTGTGGCGCCCCCAACAATTACAGTAGTCACAACAAAGATCCCTAGTCACAGATCACCCTAATAGATATAATAATAATTTAGAAGTGAGAAAGGTTGCAAAAGTTACCAAAATGTGATGTAGACACTCGGTGAGAAAAGTTGGGGAAAGTATTTCCAGTAGACTTACTGTACTCAGGGTTGCCACAGGCCCTTCCGTTTGTTAAGAAAAAGTCAGTACCTGCGGTATGTGTAAAGCCAAGTGCAGTAAAGCAAGATATGCCTGTATACCTTTTTTTTTTTGGAGTTGGAGTTTCACTCTGTCGCCCAGGCTAGAGTGCAGTGGCACACTCCCGGTCACTACTGGGCTCAGGTGATCTTTCGCCTTAGCCTTCCAAGTAGCCGAAATTACGGGGGCGTGCTACCATGCCAGCTATTTTTGTATTTTATTTTATTTTAGAGATGAGGTCTCACCATGTTGCCCAGGCTGGTCTCAAACCCGCAGGCTCAGACAGTCGTCTTGCCTTGGCCTCCCAAATTGCTGGGATTATAGGCTTGAGCCACTGCATCTGGCCTGCCTGTATATCTTTAAGAGTATAAGAAGGTTTAAGAATTCCAAAAAGATTTATTATAATAGCCTTTAAATATATTTTGTTTGTTATGTGTGATATTAGTGTTATGTTTGGTATGTGATTATATGTGGACACATGTAGCCATGTATACCTGACTTCAGTCATTTTTAGTGGCAAAATTGACTTGTGGAAATTGGCTGGTTACTTACATGATCTAAGTATTTGCTATTCTGTGGTATTATAAGATTTAAGCCAATTTGGTTATAAATTATTTCAGTTTTTTTCTGTATTGTAGCTCCAATTTTTTCCCTGTCTGAAATAGTATTCACTCAGCCTCTCTTGGCAAGTCCTCCTGTCTCTTCGTTGCCAATCTTTTTGTAAGAATAGGCAACATATTCAGCATTTCACATCTCCAGCTCCCTATACTCCTGCTAACTAACATCTGTCTGCTGCTGCCTCCATTGCTGTAAAATTTCTGTACAAAAAAATCAGTTTCCTGTTGCTCTAGAATGTAGTTATTTTTTGCTGTCATTCCTCTCAGCAAATAACCAGTTTTGTTTTCTAGGTCTCTTACTGTGTGCACATGGAGTGCGAATAGAGTTGAAAGATAGGTACACAGTGGAAAGGTGGATTAGCCTTAGAGATGATTATGCGTTTCCAATTTGGGGCTCTTGGCACCTTCTCTCTAGCTCCTTTTCCCATTTTCTTGATTAGTCAGTTTAGTCTTTCAATACTTAACTCACAGGACTCTCATCACTTGGACTGGCCTCCAGCTCAAGTAATTAGAGGTCATAGATGTAAATCCCCTTAACTCCATATGTGCCTGAAAATACATCTGTAATTTTTCATTCATAATTATTTTCTGAGGGAAAGGAGAGTGGTGTTGATGATTGGTTTGTAATGACCACTTGATGGTACTGGAAAGAGAAGCTAGTGCTGAATCCAAAGATTGTTAGGTTATGCCAAGTCAGCTGACTTTAGGCATATTACATAATTCTAAATGTAAATTGGTACAGTGACGACAGGTTAATTATAAATGTTAATGGAAAAGTAGTTGACCCCTGTTTGATTCGTTTGTTTCAGTTATACATACAGGTATGTGTTTGTGTCCTGTCTTTTGATGTAAAATACTTTGGTTTGTAGTTGAAAATGCTTGAAAGCTGTCTCCTAAATCTGAGAGTTCTTTTTCTGCTGTTTGAATTGTAAATTTTGGTGTACTGAGGGTAGTAATCATAATTGTACTTGCTGAGTTATTTACATGCTGGTGACACTCTCCATACTCTTCAGCTCCATAACTATGCTAGTTAAACATGATCTATCCAACACTTACTGATTATATTCTGGCTAATACACTTTTTCCTCATTTTGTGTAATTATCCATGAATTATCCACATCAGGACCTTGAGAATCATCGAGAATTTCTAATTTCTTCCCTTGCTGTCACTTTTTCATCTTGCAGTTATTCATTAAGTCCAATTGATTCTGTGTCATCACTCATTTATCCTTTAGTTACTACTAATACTGCCTTAGTGTCTTATTTTGCTACCAAGACCAGCCTTTTAGTTAGAGAAATAGTTATACATAGTTTGGAGTCTCACTCGGTCACCCAGACTGGAGTGCAGTGGCCACTCCCAAGCCACCGCAGCCTCGACCTGCTGGGCTCCGGCGATCCTTCTGCCTCAGCCTTCTGAGTGGCCGGAATTACAGGCACACGCTACCATGCCCGGCTGATTTTTTGATTTATTGTAGAGATGAGGTATCGCCAAGTTGCCCAGACGGGTCTCGAACCTGCGGGCTCAGGCAATCCACTCACCTCAGCCTCCCAAAGGCGCGGGATTACAGGCTGAGCCACCGAGCCTGGCTTATGCATAGTTCTTAAGAGTATGGGCTGTAGACCCAGATGTCTTAGTTTCAGATCTTGGTCCCCATTTACATTGCCATATGACCTTGAGAAAATTTCCTGATCTTCCTGAACTTCAGTTTTCTCACCTTTAAAGTGGGGATAGTAATTGACCCTACTTTAAAGGGCTGTTCTGAGGACTAAAATAAACGAATACATATGAATTTCTTAGTAAGTACTGGCTAATCTTATAGTAAGAGTTTATATAAATGCAGATTTAGATTTAATTTGTTTATGATTAGCTCTTGTCCTCAGCACAGCCTTCATTCTGAAATGGGCACATTAAAGTTTTTATTTCAGTGAGGACAGAAGTGCAGGGGAAGACCAAGGTTGAGCTGGGAAACATCAGGCAAGGGATGTGGGGTGGCAGAGAGTTCCCGTGTGGCTGGTAGTTTTATGAATCAAGCTGAAAAATGGCATCAACTAACAAATTCTTGGAATTCTTGTCTATAGTTTAGAACAGTTATTCTCAAGGTATGGTCCACAAAGCTGCAACTTCAGCATGGCACTGAACTGTAGCCTTAAACTCTGGAATTTGTTATTGATTGACAGAGCAGGTTATTTTAATTTTCATTAAATTTGACTATTTTATATGATTCAACTTCTAGGTCCTGAGTTACTGTATTATGTTAAGGTTTTACTGTATTTTTAATTATTTTAGTATCTTAGTTTTCCTTTCATACTGTAATTAAAATATTTTCTAAAACTTTAGTCTAATTATAATAGAACAAGTTATTGTAGTTTGATATCCTATTTTCATTTTATTTATTTATTTATTTATTTATTTATGAGTTGGAGTCTCACTCTGTCACCCAGGCTGGAGGGCAGTGGCATGCCCATGACCACTGCAGCCTTGACCTGCTGGGCTCAGGTGATCTTTCTGCCTCAGCCTTCCAGGTAGCTCGAACTGCAGGTACATGCCACCATGCCTGGCTAATTTTTTTTATTTATTGTAGAGATGAGGTCTCACCAAGCTGCCCAGGCTGGTCTCGAATCCGTGGGCTCAGGCAGTCCTTTCACCTCGGCCTCCCAAAGTGCTGGGATTATGGTCATGAGCCATTGCGCCAAGCTGTTTTCATTTTTAATACAGTTCCAAACTAATGTTTATATATAATTTACTATATATAATTTACTTTTAGGCCACGCATGTTTAAGTGTAGCAACTATTTTGTTGTTAACTTTGTTATTTGTTTTATTTGTATCTGACTTTAAATATTTTTTCATTTTCTTAAATATTATGTTGAACTGCGTAAAATTGCCATATTTACAGGTTATAAATGGTTTAATGTTGATAATTTTAGTTTGACTAATTTTATAAGTTTTATTGTGATATTGAGTCTCAGATTATTTTCCCTCAAAGCTTTGATGATGATATTTCTGTTATTTTTTGGTATTGCTTTTCACTGGTGAGTTCTGTTGTCAGTCTGTCTTCTATTACTGAAACTTTTGTTTTCATTCTAATTCTTAATAGGTTTTTTTTCCATCTTTGATTTGTAATTTTCTTTTTTTGTTTTGTTTTAAGTCATAGTCTCACTGTTTTTTGTTTTGTTTTGTTTTGAGTCTTACTCTGTTGCCTAGGCTGGAGTGCAGGGGCATGCTCCCAGCTACCTCAGCCTTGATCTTCTGAGCTCAGACAATCCTTTCACCTCAGTCTTCCTAGTAGCTGGAACTACGGGTGTGTGCCACAACACCCAGCTAATGTTTTTTTGTTTTTGTTTTTGTTTTTGAGTCGGAGTCTCACTCTGTCACCTAGACTGGAGTGTAGTGGCCGTTTCCGGCCACCACAGCCTCACCTGCTGGGCTCCGGCGATCCTTCTGCCTCAGCCTTCCAAGTAGCTGGAACTAGAGGCGCGTGCTACCACGCATGGCTAGTTTTTTGATTTATTGTGGAGATGAGGTCTCGCCAAGTTGCCCAGGCGGGTCTTGAACCCGCGGGCTCAGGCAGTCCACTCACCTCGGCCTCCCAAAGTGCGAGATTACAGGCTGAGCCACCGAGCCCGGCTAATTTTTAAATTTATTATAGAGACAGGTCTTTTGTTGCTCTGGCTGGTCTTGAACCTCTGGGCTCAGGCAATCCTCCCATCTCTGCCTCCCAAAGTGCTGGGATTATAGGCATGAGCCACTGTGCCCACTTGTTTTGTAGTTTTCTTACTCAATATCTAGTTGTGAATTTACTTCTGTTTGTCCTATTTAGGACCTGACTTTCAGTTAGATGAGGGAACAGCTCTTTTTCTTCAGTTGTGAAATTCAGCCAATGTAGTAACATCTCTATCTCTTCCATGAACTTTCAGAACTTCTTTTGACACATTGTGAAGGTTCTTATTAGTTTTTTTTTTGTTTTTCTTTTCTTCTCTTTCATAATTTCCATTTTTCTTATCTCTGTGAATTCTATGATTTTTTTTCATTTCTATGTTCTAGCTTGATAATTTTCTTTTCAATTATCTCTTAGTCTTTCATTATTCAATTCTTATTTTTAATTCTTTGATACTTTTTCAGGTCTACCCATTTCCTTAGATTGGTTTCTTTGTCTCTCTGAACATTTTACACATATTTGAAGTCTCTTAGACTGTTTTGTTTATTTAAAATCTATGGTTTCTAGGTTGTTAACTTCTTGGTTTAGTGTGTTTGTTGACCCACACAAAGAATGTTGGGTTTCCTCATGTACATTGAAATTTTGTTGTATGAGCCTATCTTTAGAGGGAGTCCCTCCTGGGCCCTGCATTAGGAGGGGTTCTCATGAGATGGTTTTGTTTTTGTAAGGTTCTAGATACTCTCTTATTAATTTCTTACTTGGCATTTCTGTGTTCTGTGCAGATGGTACACATTTTAGTTATACATCTAAATGTGTACCATCTGCACAGAACACAGCTTTTTTGGGGGGATTCTCTAGACTGACAGGGATTTCAGACTACAGGGAACTAAAAGTCTGCTTCAGAGCTCTGTGGAGGGAGTTCACTTTCTAAACTTTGTTTTCCTGTTCCCCAAAGTGGTACTGATAACTCCTATGGCCCACTTACTTCAGTGCCTAACCACTTGGGCTTTGAGTTCCCTTTTTGTTTCTGGCACTTCAAAATTTCTTTTTCTTGCTCTTCTAGTTAAGTATTTTTCAAAATATATTTTAATTTTTAATGCTTTAATCATTTTTGTGTTTGAACTGGGGGAGGTCAGTTGGTCTTTCCACACCTGCTTACTTCCATTTTGAATGGAAGTGTACCAGTTTACTGAAACTAAATTTCCCTTAACCTGACACTGTGGATGTAAACTAGTTTGTAGGCTCGCCTATTTTAGCCTATTAGATAGAGTCTCATCTCCTTCTGCTTCCCCTCCCCAAATACAAATTTTAAATTGGCATTTAAGAGAAGCTAATAAGCATGGCTTGGGTTTCTCAGAGCTTGAACTTTGAAGTGATAAAATCAGTTCTAGGGACATTATGCATAAAACTGTTTAGTAGCTTTGGAGTTTGGGTGTGACTCCAAAGCTACTGGACTGTAGAACTGAGTGATTGAGTCAGGAGCACACTTATCTGATATAGATTAATTTCTTTTTTTTTTTTTAAGATTAAAAATATAGTTTATTTAAAAGAAGATTCACCTCCCCAAGGTGGGGGGGCCATATACACTAATTTCATGAGGATACTCACTTAAGACTTCACTTGGAAAATGTAAAATGGCTTTAAAAAAAACAAAGCAGGCACTTATATAATTTTTTAAATTTGTTAATAAATATAGAAACAAATAGCAAAAGGATCCCTAAAGAGCCTTCAACTCTTCTGTCTGGGGGTAAGAAACCCTGGCTGCTGGATAATTTCTCAGAGGTAAACAGTCAGCATAGGAGTCTTGCATGCCTATAGACTTGCATTTATTCCTTTGTGTCCCATTGGGACTTCTTCATGCCTCAAGTTTGTGAATTCCAAGATTTATCCCCCCATTCCTGTATACTCTGGACTAGGTTTCTTCTGTACTGCTTAGTTTTTGTTCTCCATTTACCTTTGCTAAACTTGTTGGTTTGTGTGCCTTGCTCCTTCCCTTTACTCTCATTTTTCTGGATATTCTGTTAATCTTCTAAATTTCTTATCATTTTAGGGGAGATTTAGAGTAAGAAAAAGATACATTTGTGTTGTCATAAACTGTGATGTCCACTTGCTTGTTGAAATGGAAATTGGTAAGAATGTGAGGATCAACTCATTGAGTTTGGACTTGTATATTTACACAGATATAGTGGATGCTTTCTTAACAAATGAGTCTTTCTTGCTTAGAACATAGACTGTCTCTCCATCTTTTGTGTCCTTCAGCAAATGTATTCCTTCACTTAGATCTTGCAAATTTCTCATTAACTTTCTCAGTGTTTTACATAGATGAAATTATATGTATATACAGATATTTTCTGCTATACTTTATAGCCTTTTTTCTTTTAATTAGTAATCTTTTGCACATGCTATTCTTAGTTCCCTCTTTTATTAGTTGAGTTGAAGCTCCCCAAGATCAACCTCGGGAAAGATGATTCAGTAGGAGTCACAGGACTGAGAAAATCTGCTATATCCTGGATGTGTTTTATTATAATTGAAGGATACTGTTTAAAATCTGCAGAGACAGTGGGATTATTGCCAACTTTCTCCACCCAAAATAAGGACATACACAATACATTAACAAATAAATAAAACAAAATCAACAAAAAGAACAGATACATGATATGTAGTCCAAGAGAAAGCAGACACATGCTTCCAGATGTTTCCTTCCAGTGTAGTTGAACAGGGAGACACTTAAATTATCCCAGCAGCAGTATGGGCCAACACACAGGAGTATTGCCAAGCAGGGAATCTCACTTGAGCCATGGCGTCTAGGGTTTTTATTGGGGGATCAGTCTTACTGGTATGCAGCCCCACAGGACTGATATCAGGTGCTTGCACTCCAGTCCACAGATGTCAAGCTGAATACAGTATGGCCTAAAGCCTCAGGTATAAAAAACAAAACAAAACCTGTCTTATCAGTCAGAATATTCCATAGGTTCAGAGGTCATCTCCCAGGAGCCTGTCAAGTGCCAGTCCAGAAGACAGGCCTTTCTTAGGAATGTGCAGGTTTTACACAACCTCGACCGCCAAGTAAACCCTTTCTTGCATGTAAATGCGTATTCATTCTTCAGGGCCCTATTTATATGTTTTCTCTTTAGCGAAAATGGACCTGAAGAACAGTTAGTTGCTGCTATATCTTTGCTCCTACAGTTACTTGTACTTATCTCCTTTGTAGTTTCATATTAAATTGTTTCTTGGGTGGTTTTTAATTCAAGCCTCCTCAAATGTGAAAAATATTTCCCCCCCCTTTCTTTTCACTGCACTGTTTCTTCCTTTGTTTTGAAACATTTTTTGAGTATTTCCTTTCAGCAAGATTTTTGTATTTATTTTCAAACAAATTCTTTTGGCAAAATATACAAGAAATATGTGATACAAAATAACATTTTGCTTCAAATACATAATTATACACTTGAGTTTGTTTTAATTCATTTGCAACTGCTGACGTGAATTTACGTCATTCCAAATTCTGTTCCTGGTTGCTGCTGATGTGAATACGTCTTTGCAAATTCTGTTTCTGAATGCTGCTACATTGTCATATGTATGTGTTACTATGTTTTGCTTGAAAATGAATAGTCAGGCAAGGAGAAAGAAGTTAATTGAGGTAATTACCTGATATCAGCTGCGCAGTGTTGTTCTTGATTTATATAGTTGGTAAAAATTGCAAGTTGGTCATTATTTTGTTGTGATTAGTGTTGTATACTTGTGTTTTGATATTTCATGACTTTCATACTTCAGTGTTGAAAATAACTTACCATAATTATGGACAATGAAGAAATACATGCTGAAATATATGAGATTTCCGAGGTTGAAGGTGAATCTGGTGAACTTACTAGTCCTAGTGAGACAGATAGTGATGTAATAATACAATGTAAATGAAGAAATATAACGCAAATAATCTATGATGGTGAATCTGGTACTGGTGAGAACAAGTCAGACATTGAATGGACAAAATCTGACCCAAAAAGAAACCTAGGCTGGGTGCAATGGCTCAAGCCGTAATCCCAGCACTCTGGAAAGTCGAGGTGAGGGGATTGCCTGAGCCCACGGGTTCAAGAACAGCCCGGGCAACTTGGCAAGACCTCCTCTCTACAGTAAATAAAAAAAATTAGCCTGAATTGGTAGTGCACGCCTGTAGATCCGGCTACTTGGAAGGCTGAGGCGGAGGGATCGCCTGAACCCAACAGGTCAACGCTGGGTTGGTTGTGAGCATGCCACTGCACTCCAGCCTGGGTGACGGAATGAGATTCCAACTCCAAAAAAAAAAGAAGAAAGAAAGAAAGAAAAAGAAAAGAAACTTAGAAGTGTTTATTGGTAATCCAAGTGTCAGGGTATTTCCAAATGATCCTCAAAGTGAAAGTGAAGTTGTTGGACTATTTATTGGAGATGATTTTATAGAAATGAGCACAACTGAAACTAACAGTATTATGATCAGATGCACCACAGATATAAATGTCCAAAGACATAAAAAAAAAAAAAGAGGAGCAGTACTACAGTGTCCGAGATGAAAAAATTTCTAGTGTTAAGTATTTTGATGGGACAAGTGAAAAAAACCCACAATACGTGATTATTAGTCAACATATCCGTCATTTGTGATGCCTTTCTTTTCCAAAATAATGACAAGAAATAGATTCCTACAAATTTTGCGTTTTTTGCATTTTTCTAATAATGCAGAAATACAGTCAAATCCAAGCAGATAGGGCTGTGCGGCAAGAGGATAGCCTGACCCCAGGGGTTCAAGACCAGCCTGGGCAACTTGGTGAGAACTCATCTCTACAATAAATTACAAAAACGAGCCGAGTGTGGTGGCATCCGTCTGTAGTTCCAACTACTTGGAAGATTGAGGCTTAGGGCTTGCCTGAAGTGACTGTGAACATGCTGCTGCACTCCAGCCTGGGCGTCAAGAGTGAGACTCCAACTCAAAAAAAAAAAAAAAAAAAAAAATGTTTTAAATAAGTTTGACACTGTGTACAAACCTGAACAAAGACTTCCCTGGATGAATTCATGATGCCTCATTGTGAATTGCAGTCTTTTCGAGTTTATAATCTGAGTAAAAATACAAAGTATGGGATACTAGTCAGAGTGATGTCTGAGGCAAATACTGGATATGTCTGCAACTTTCAGCTGTATTGTGAAAAAGGTGACAATTTAGAAAAGAACATTTCACTTGTGCTTTACTATAGATGTTTGTGGCAGTCAGCTTCAGATTTTTCTTATTTTCACCCACTCAGTATTAGGAAAGTGAAAATTTTGCTGGTTGCGAATGTGTTAACGCTGTATGTACATATATCTCCCTGGAGACTGATATTCATCCCTATTTTTAGATTGACATGCTTTATTTATGTTCTCATTTTCCTTCAGAATGACTGTCTATGGTGCTGCAGTTTGTGTACTACACAACTCTTAGGGACTCTGTTTATATCCCAGTCTTTGGTGCTTCCCGTCGTTGTGCACTTTGCAACTGTAAAACCTGTATACTAGAACCCTTCTTGAATGTGGAGACTGTGTTATTTGTTGTAGTCTTAATTCCATGACTGACACACGGCAGTCAGTTGTATTGACTGGTGCTATCGTTTTGTCTTCCATATGTTACATCAACAGTTTATCCATTTTGCCAGATGCAGTGGCTCATGCCTATAATCCCAGCTACTCAGAGGCCACGGCAGGAGGAGTGCTTGAACTCGGGAGTTTGAGACCAGTGTATGCAACATAGGGAGACCTCGTCTCTATAAATAAAAAATTAACCAGGCACGGTGGCGTGTACCTGTAGTCCCAGAAGGATCGCCTGTTCAAGGCTGGAGTGAGCCATAATTGTGCCTCTGCAGTCTAGCTAGGGTGATTATGAGACCCTGACTCAAAAAACAAACAAGCAAAAAACAGCAACCCATTTATCCATTCCAATAGATGCCAGAACACTTGCTAGTGAAGTAGGCACAGATGATCTTTATAGCCTAAATTCAAATGTCTCTAAACCAAGTTAGAATTTATAAGATGATAGATTATGTATTTTTTGTTGCTGCTGTAACAAAATTAAACAAAAACTTGGCAGCTTAAAACAGCACACATATTATTCTTTTTCCATTCTGGAGGCTACAAGTTTGAAATCAGTTTCAGTGGGCTAAAGTCAGAGTGTTGGCACTACTGCTTCCTTCTGCAGGCTTTGGTAGAGAATCATTTTCTTGTCTCTTTCAGCTTCTTGTGGTTGCCTGTTTTTCTTGGCTTGTGGCTCCTTCCTTCATCTTCAAAGTGCATCACTCCATTCTGCTTCCGTTACTAATTGCCTTCCATTTTTCTGTAGTCTTTTCTTCTGCCTCTCTCTTATAAGATCACTTGATTACATTTAGGGTCTGCTGGATAATCTATCACAGGAGCCTTAATTTAAACATATCTGTAAAGTCCCTTTTGCCATGTAAAATAATATTCATAGTTTCCAAAGACTAGGACCTGACTTTCTTTTGGATTTCAGTAACATGTGTTGTTTTAAAAAAAAAAACAAAACACTTTTGGAGGGCATATTAATGCTTGTTTTCTTTTCCTAAATAGAGTATCACTTCCCCCAGTGGAATAACTTGAGTTATGTTACCCAGCTCTTGATGCTCATTTCTTTGGTCTTGTCTGTGACAGATTAATGATTGTTTCCGTATGAACATCGTGCATAATTTCCTTATTTTTTCTTGAAGGACTTTTTTAATGTTGTGATTTTGTGTTGTAGTTGGTGTAATACGGTGCCCGGTATGCCGCCAGGAATGCAGACAGATAGACCTTGTGGATAATTATTTTGTGAAAGACACATCTGAAGCTCCTAGCAGTTCTGATGAAAAATCAGAACAGGTATGCTTCTCAGTGTTTCTTTTTATTTCCATCTTATATCAAAACATAAATTATAAGAAAAACATGTTTGGATAGTTAAGTAATTTAGGGTAGTTCTGCTAGAGTTTCATCTTTCAGGTTGAAAACTAAAGCTATCTTTCATCTGTATTTTCATACCTGGTAAATGAGACTGAAGTCATGACTTAAAAAGTCAATGCTGTGCAGACTTTATATTCTGAGTCTTAAATTTTTACCTACTTTAATGTGTGATCTGTAAAGAAAGGGATTTTGTTGAAGATAAATGGATAACAAAGTAACTTTATTCTGTGTACAGTGAATGAGACAGTATAATATTCTTGAGAGCAAGTTAGAAAGTTTTTGCCTTTTTATTTTGTGGATGATCTATATTTTGTATATTTAATGTAAGATTAGTATTTATTTTCTCTTTTAGGTATGTACTAGTTGTGAAGACAATGCAAGTGCAGTTGGCTTTTGTGTGGAATGTGGCGAGTGGCTATGTAAGACATGCATTGAAGCGCATCAAAGAGTAAAATTCACGAAAGATCACTTAATCAGGAAGAAAGAAGATGTCTCAGGTAAGACAATTGCAGTTTAAATGATTACCCTTAACCTCCCTCTTCTGTTCCTGTAGCATTTTTTACTTATTCATTATAAGCTTTGGATACTAATGTCAATAAAAATTTAGAAAATTAGGCAAATTTTATGTTTAGTTTAAAAATATTTGCTTTATTTTGCTACAGAGTCTGTTGGAGCGTCTGGTCAGCGCCCTGTTTTCTGCCCTGTACACAAACAAGAACAGTTGAAACTTTTCTGTGAAACTTGTGATAGACTGACATGTAGAGACTGTCAGCTATTGGAACACAAAGAACATAGGTACAGAAATCATAATTGCTTGCCAAGAAATATTAAAAGTGGCCATATAGTTTTTCTTTTTAAATACTGATTGTATAATTATGTCTCTTAACATTTTAAATGTAAATATTATATATTTTATTTATTTAAGCAATACATGTTTTGATGTTACTTAATGGTTTTTAGATTTGTATCTAATTATCTTATAAATATTTGTTAAAATTTATCATGTGGGTTGAGTTTGCAAGAATGTAGTTGTGTTGTTTTTTTGTTTACCATTACTGTGGTTTAAATAAGCTTTTTTCAAGTCTAATGTACTATTTAAGCTATAGGTTGTAATCTGAAAAGGCGATATTCCCATGGGTATGGCTAACTGATGCCCTTTTAACATCAAAGCTTAAATATACTGATTTAATGTTAGGTATGTAATTTGCAGAAAAACCAGGGATTAGTAAACAACTAAGTAAGTATAGTTACTAATTGCTAACTCTTTAATATTTAACTTTGTATTTGAAACTTGTTTTACCTTCAAAATCCAGTAGTATTCATTTACTCAAAGCTGTTTAATCTGAACTTCTTTGGAGCTATACTCAAATTTTCAGTCAAGCGTTTAACAAAATCTTTCAGTAAATTTTTCTAGCTTCTATGACATCTGTTTACTACAAGTAAAAAGATAGTCTAGACTGTGCATAGTCTAGAATTTTCTAAAATGCTTTTTAGAAAACAGTTTCTATGGATGGATAAAAATATGTTTTATTTATCTGTTGCAAAAGAAAAGGATAGGAGAGGTTCAGTTAATCACACTAAAATTTGTTTTGTTTTGTTTTGAGTCAGGGTCTCCAGGCACCCTGGAGTGCAAAGTATCTCACACTGCAGCCTTGACCTGCTGGGCTTAGGCCATCCTTCCACTTCATCCTTCCAAGTAGCTGGAACCACAGGCATGCACCACCATGCCTGGCTAATTTTTTTATTTACTGTAGAGACGAGGTCTCGCCATGTTGCTCAGGCTGGTCTCTAATCCCTGAGCTCAGGCAGTCCTCTCATCTCTGCCTCCCAAAGTGCTGGGATTGTAAGCGTGAGCCACTGTGCCTGGTGAGAGCATTAGATTTCTTATAGCTTTTAAAGTTGATGGTGAGAGGCAAAAAGAAAAGGAAGATGGAATACTTTGCTCCATAAAGGAATAGCTTCAACTTCTCCTGCTTTTTCAAAATTTAACCATGATCCTTCCCTTTCTTCACTATTTTCCTTAACCACTTAATCTGTGAGTCCTAATTATCTCTTGAATGGATCCTCTTGAATATAGGAAAAAACACACTTTTTCTCCTCCTATATTCACTCGGCAATACTTTTGTGACTATTTGTATGACAGTTTCCCTTCCATATTGACTAATTCTGTGACACCAGCTGGGTGTCCTATAATTCAGTTCAATTCAATTCTGACACTATCTACTTGGAGTTAAGAGTCATATCCCACAAGTAATGACTCAGTCTGGCAGACTGCCCATTCACTTCAGATGCCAGTTGTAAATCCTGGTCTCTGGTACTTCTCACCAACTAACTATAAATTGAGGATTTCCACATCTCCTTCCTTGGGTGGTGTGGTCATTTGCTATAGTGGCTCACAGAACTGAGGGAAGCACTTAATACTGCCAGTCTATTTCAAAGGACACAATTTACAGATCTTACCTGGCTTTATTTTTGATTCTAGAATTGAGCAACTTCATTCCATAAAATAGAATAAGTATTTCAGTGAACCAAGCAGAAGAGATTGATCTTATTTATAGAAAGCGAAGAGATGAAGAAAGAAAGAGCAGAAAAACACATTGGGGCTGGGTGCAGTGGCTCACCCCTGTGATCCTAGCAGGAAGGCTGAGGCAAGAGGATTGTATGAGTCCAGGAGTTCAAGACCAGCCTGGGCAACATAGTGAGACCTATCTCTACAAAAAGTTTAATGTAAAAAAATTAGCTGGGTATGCTGGCATGTGCCTGTAGTCCCAGCTTCTCAGGAGGCTGCGATGGAAGGATCACCTGAGCCAGGGAGGTCAGAGCTGCAGTGAGCTGCGATCACACCACTGCATTTCGGACTGGGCGACAGAGACCTCAACTCAAAAAAATAAAACATGGGTTGGTCATTTCAAAGATCCTTTCCTTGTAGGGTGGAAACAGGGAAATGGAACATGCAGCAGGTGACCTTTCCTTGTGAAGACTAAAGACTGAGAGAACCTCATTGTCATGCTAGTTAACGCTGGCCTTTTTGGGAAATTAAGCTGTTGTCTCTCTCTCCTGATTCCTTGGAAAGTTTGATAACTCAGTTTCAGTTTGGTGACCTCAGTGTGAGTGACTGCACTTTGATTTTTAGTCCAATCTGTTAGGGCCTAATGCAAGAACTTAGTCCAAAACGATGGCCTCCTATCATTTTTGTGTTTTGTATAATGTTTTGTATTTGTACAGTTTTTTTTTTTTTTAATTTTATTTTAAAGATGTGGCATACATTGCACAGGCAAAGTTTGGGCCTCACTTTGGACCCCACTTTGCCTGATTTGAGATTTGGTAACCTCATTGATGAAGTGCGCTCCCCACTCCCTCCTCTGGCAGTTTCTCACTACTTCCAATTCCTTTCATATATTATTATGATAATTGTTCAGAGTCTGCTTACCAGTGATTTTTTATTTTATCATTTTATTTCATTTTACTTTACTTTAATTTTCTTTATTTTTACTTTACTTTATTTTACTTTACTTTATTTTATTTTTTATTTTTTGAGTTGGAGCCTCACTCTGTCGCCCAGACTGGAGTACAGTGGCCGCTCCCGGCCACCGCAGCCTCGACCTGCTGGGCTCCGGCGATCCTTCCGCCTCAGCCTTCCGAGTAGCCAGAACTACAGGCGCGTGCTACCACACCCGGCTAATTTTTTATTTTTATTGTGGAGATGAGGTCTTGCCAAGTTGCCCAGGCAGGTCTCGAACCCGTGGGCTTAGGCAATCCACTCACCTCGGCCTCCCAAAGCGCGGGATTACAGGCTGAGCCATCGAGCCCGGCCACTGCAATTTCTTTATTCATTCATTCATCAGGGGGAACCTAAGTTGTTTCCACATGTTGGCATTTATGAATAGTGCTGTGTTGAATATAGGGGTGCACTTATCTCTTCCAGATATTAATTATGTCTCCTTTGGCCTTATACCCAGAAGTGGATCATATGGCATATTTTCAATTTTTTTTTTTTTTTTGAGTTGGAATCTCACTCTGTCACCC